AAAAATATCAAAGTATGAAAATTTTACATTCATTTAAAGTGAATAAAATGCATCTAATTAAATTAATGTAACATAAATATAGATAAACAACAAATACTAATATTAATATTATTTTCATTCGAATAATTCTCGGAAGGGCACTCCAAGTGTTTGGAGGTCTTCCATAGATTAGTCGAATAATCAACAAATAATTAATCTTATAATTTTATAACATTTGATAATAACAAATTATATAAAATATAAGTTCTGAATACAATATTTAAAACATCCATATTTTTATAAATAATAAAAAGAATAAATTTCTCACATAAATACATATATAAATGTCACATATTTAATACTATATAAAAATATTAATAAACCACTAAAATATTATATATTTTTTACTAGACTATATAAAAAAATAAAATAAGATGAAATAAAAAAAAGAAAAATAATATGGGGACTAAATTGAAACAACAAAAACATACATGTTGCTATTGACATGTTTAACCATAGCATTTCACTAAATAACCAACACATATGGTGATTAAAATGGATATGGAATAAATTTGTGAGGCTCTAAAACATAAATATAGAAAATTCAAATATATATCAAACATTGGGCCGCCGAAGCAACCCCTGATTTTCAAAACATGTTTATTTTATTTTCAAACATTCTGAATGGTATCATAAAACATACAAAACATTTATTAAAACATTTTATAAACCAAATCTTGTGCCACATAATTTAAAATCAAAATAATACATCTTTAGGGTTTACACTCAAATACACAAGTAATGCTCCACAAATACACATGCCCACTAAAGCTATAGTACAATACTCTGAAGATGTTGGAAGTCATGCTGCAACGGTGCTCCGCAAACTGCTCAGCTACTGACCTGCCAATGAGAAACATCTGAAAGTTGAGCAACAGTATGATCGCTAATCTGGAGCAACATTTAGAGTTTCATAAATGCAAGAATGCTGAATACATGGTAATATCCTCAACACTTACATAGGTGCATAAGAGCTAGGTTGTGCTTCAACATGTGTACTTACAAGAAATTATAGATCACGCTTCTGAGACATTATTGATATTTAGATTGAAATTAAGGGTTCTATCTCTTCCCTTCTTTTCTATGGTGAGAATTTAGCCTGAATAATTATTTCTTACAGGTTACTTGAAACAGCTATTAGACTTGGTAACCTTCAAGCAGAGTTCAAAATACCAGTAACACCCGAGGAGTATGCACAAGAAAATCTAAAGTTTGGTCTTGTTGAAGTGGTTTACGAATGGGCAAAGGGTTCATATCTTAACACGCTGATTAGAATTTAGACCTTGATCTAGTTTCTTGTTTGTCATCTTATATCTTCCTTGTTGCAGGGTACCCCATTCGCCGATATTTGTCAGCTCACGGATGTTCCCGAAGGCCTTATAGTACGAAAAATTATCAGGCTGGAAAATGGACATTGCTTCCAATGCCATAAAGCGTGATATAGTTTTTGCAGCTAGTTTGCACGTCACTGGAGTGTGATATGTACATTAGCCTGTGATTAATGACTGTGATATAGATAAGTTGATTGTCTTTAATCAAAACAACTTGTAACCATTTTGCCTTCAGTTCTCGAAGCCAGCATATTGAGATTGTTTCCATATTCAGAGCAGGTTAGGACCCAAGACATTTGACCTTAGCCAAGATTACCATTGACCTAGTAGCCTTGACCTTTTTTGAACTTTGATTTTGTACATTAGATGTCTTTAAAAGTATGATGAATATTGTTGAAAAGAATGAAATTCTGTATTGAATTTTCTTAGTTACACACTTATTTTATAGACTAGAAGTACAAGAGATAAAAGGAAGAAAACAAATTCTACCTAAAAATTAGTTAATCTAATCCCAAATCTTTAGGAACAAAATATTTGCATTATTTACACAAGAAAACCAAAGACAATAATACACTGTTTTTCACAAGGAAAGATGATAATACACAATATTTATCACACTTTCCCTCGAGTTGGATAATATAATCTTCAGCCATAACTCACAAAATACCTTGTGCCATGGCGCTCCAAATTCAGATTCTGCATTTGATCTAGCTACAGTGTTTTGTTTCTTACACTTCAATGTCATGTCACCAAGTTCTAAGAAACACAATGACCTAAAGTAGACCTTCGATCTATAGGACGTAATATGTGTCGGTATAAGCTTCAAGGATAAGTTCAAAATTTCTCTTGAACAATAATTTTTTTCTTCAAAATTAGCTTTCAGGTAATGTAGCACTTGATAGATAGCTTGAAGATGAATTGACTTTTATACAATCAAATATGAGGAAGATGAGTTTTCCAACCATATTTTAATACATTTGTGTTGTAACTGGTTTACTTCAGCAGCCTCTCCGAGTATATGATTAGGGTTTATTGGTTTACTTCAAAGCATTCATGTTTCTTTAAGATCGGTGACATATTTTTGTTGTGAAATGAAGATCCATTGTTTAGAATAAAAAATCTCAATCCTAGCATGAGGTGATTGTTTCAAGGTATACGATACCTTTTTAACTTACGTAGCTTGCACGAACCAAGTGATCTCAATAGTTAAAGAGATGATTGTTATCCTTAAAGGTTTCAGATTCAAGCATAACGTATGTGTGTTTGAAAATCTTTCGAACCTTTAACATCTAAATTTATAAATAGGTGGAAGAAGATAAAAAGATCATAGGAAAAAACACTGTCGGTTCATCAAATTCAGTCATAACTCTTCGTTTCCATAAACTATTTTCTGCTTTCAAATTTTGAAGGAAACCAAAATATTAAATAGAAAAAGAAAAAGAAAAAAATAAAGTAGCACAAAATCACAATACAAATGCTAGCATCATTTTGGTAACATGTGGTTATACTTTTTAACATTAAAATGCAAATGAAATTAATATCAAACAAAAATTATAGCAGATATATTTCCAACATGTAAGGTAATAATCCTCGTTCAGGATTTTTGTCCTCCTGCAATTTGTTATCCGTTGCTTATAAGTTATTCTGCCGACCAACGAGAGACATTTTCAGCATATAAGATAAAAATCATCATCTAAGATTTTGGTCTTGTTGTTCAAATAGAAGGCCTGGGATGAATTTAGGGGAGGAATTGATATGCATAGAATGTTTATTTGAGAATAACTCGATGAACTCAGACCCGAAGAAGCAATGACTATAATGTTCGTTATCATGTTTCAGCAAAAGAAATTTAAATTAAACATTAGGTATGATTTAAAAAAAATAAAATGTATATATCAAAACGCAACAAAAGTAATAAATTAGGTACTAAACATATAGTTTATCCAAAACAAATGACAAGTCATTTTATTTTGAGTCCAAATAATTTATTTTTCATTTAAATTGATTATAATTATAATTATAATTATAATTATTTGAATGGAGATGAATTAAAATAATTTAACTCCTATTGTAACTAAATTAATTATTATTGTAATTATATGGATGTTTGAGTAGACCTCTTAATGGGATTAAAAATAATGGTCCTAAATTGTTAATCATAATTATTAGCAGACTTATTTATGGATCAAAGTCTAAATTTGAGTCAAATTTAAATAGGAAATTTCATTCCACAAATCGATTCGATTTGATATATATAAAAATTAAATGATTTTAAAATATATTTAATTAAAATATTATTATAATTATATAAATATTACAGATAATTGCATCATATGTCCTTAATCTATGACCCTCATTTCAAATTGGTCCTTAACTTTTAAACATTTCAATTTTATCCCTAAACTATGATTTTCATTCTAATTTAGTCCTTAAACTTTTAACATTTCATTTTTATCCCCAAATTATGATCTTCATTCTAAATTGGTCCCCAAACTTTTTGAACATTTCAATTTAATCCTAAATTAGATGTATATACTAATTACATCCATTATTAATAAAATCGTTAGACCAAGTTATATTATTATATGTTTGAAAAAAATAACATTTAGGATAAACTATGGTTGAAATGGATTACATATTTGGATGAACTTGGGGATAAAATTGGATGATGAAAAAGTTTAGGTGCAAATTTAGAATGATATTCATGGTTTGGGGATGAAATTGGAATGTTCAAAAGTTTAAGGATTAATTTAGAATGAGATTCATAGTTTTTGGATGAAATTGAAATGTTTAAAAGTTTAAGGACTAATATGAAATAAGATTCATAGTTTGAGGAAATACGATACAATTAACTCTAAATATTTAAATCAACAAAACAATCATTTGGACAAATCATACAGGGCCAGGCTTGAGTCTAAGATTTTGAACCAGGCCCCAGTCTGGTCCGATTATAGACACCTCTAGCTGTTAAGAACCCAATAATGACGTAAGTCCGTCACTTATCTCAGTGACAAACTAAATATAATTAACCTTTTTTTTCATTTTGTCTCTTTAATCTGTCTTAATTTTTTCTTGGGTTTTATTTATAGAATAAACTGATTACATTCAATACAAATCCATAATCGCTTCTTGTTAAATCAATCTTTGCAGATTTGTTTCTTTTTTTCAGTATTTCTCCGTCTCTCGCGCGCTTTCTCTGCTGCTCTGCGCCTTCCCGGATGTAAGATTCTTATCAATGCTTTTCATCAGTCGCGTTCTATTTACTCTACCTTATTACTATTCTCATATCCTTTTTTAAGAAAACCCTAATTCATTTATTCCCCAAGCTTTGCTGGATTGATTTCAGTTAGGGTTTAAGCAGAACTTGAATCAAAGTCTGAGATAAGTTTCAAGAGTTTTTTTTCATGTTGAAAATCTCCCTCTCTGGTTCACATAAGCTGTAGTATATATATATATTATTATTTTTTTGATTTATTATTTGGTTCTACCTGATTAAACTTTTATTTAATGTCGAAGGTTGATAAAATTTGATTAACTTTTGGGTATCCTGATCGCAGTTTGTTGATTTATTTGTTTATATTGTCATCTTAACTCTATTGTTATTGTTAATAGCCACATTGTTGATTTTACTAATGCTGCTACTCTAGAAATGATGAAAAAATTCATGTCTTTTTGTTTCCAGAGGCTAATTAACTTGATGCTCGTTGGGAGTTGAAGACAAATTTCTTGGGCAGAATGGGATTTGATAATGAGTGCATACTGAATATCCAATCTCTGGCCGGAGAATACTTCTGTCCTGTTTGCCGCCTACTTGTCTACCCAAATGAAGCATTACAGTCACAACGCACCCATCTTTACTGCAAACCATGTTTAACCTATGTTGTCAGCACTACTCGAGCTTGTCCTTATGATGGTTACTTGGTAACAGAAGTCGATTCTAAGGTAAGTCTCCAATACTCTACTGACTGGTTCTTATTATATTATTACGATTATTGTTTCCTTCCATTTGACTGTTCCCGCCACATCAAATTACAACCACTTGTTGAGTCAAATAAGGCACTTGCTGAGACGATTGGGAAGATCACTGTTCATTGTCTCTATCATAGGAGTGGCTGCACGTGGCAGGGTCCTCTTTCTGAATGTACAACTCATTGTTCAGGTTGTGCATTTGGCAATTCTCATGTTGTATGTAATCGGTGTGGTGTTCAGATTGTGCATCATCAAGTTCAAGAACATGCACAAAATTGCCCTGTGAGTGCAATGAATCATTGTGTTGTTGTTGGACCATGATTTTTGTAGTATTTGTTGTAAATTTAACTTTTTTACATATTTTTAATACAGAGGGTGCAGCCTCAGGCTCAACAGATTGTGAGTGGTCAGGAAATTTCAACCTCGGGCATCACTTCTGATCAGATTCAGGTTACCTCTCAGGTAGGAACAACTGCTTCTCAGGCCCAGACATCTCAAACTACAACATCCAGTACATCTGTTCATGACCTGAGTCAGCCGGCCAATCCAAATCCTCAGTCTCAAGTTGTCTCCCAGGTTGCTGTGGTTACTTCAGAACACTGGTCTCAACAATAACAACAACAATAGCAGCAATACTACCAGCAGTATTCTGGATATGACCCATATTATCAGCAACAATACCCATATCAACAGCAGGCATTTCCACAATACCAGCTGCAACCTTTGCAGGTTAACGAATCACATATGGCTGGACAAAATCCAGTCTACTTGCAGACCCAACCCCAACCTCAATCACAGGTCCAGCCTCAGTTGCACTTATCTGTTCAGGTTCCTGTAGCTGCTCAACCTCAGAGCCAGGCGCAAGCCAATCAACAGCAACAAACTCAACATACGATGCCACTGCACTCTCAAATTCCAGCTCAAACTTACCCAACATCTTTGGGCCATTCCCAACCTCTGGTTCAACCAATTCCTCAAGCTCAGCCGCATCTGCAGGTCCAAACTATTCAGCCTCATCTGCAACATGGGTACATGCCTCATTATCAACATTATCATTCCCAGATGCAACTCCCACAGCCCCAACCTTCGCCTGGTCCTCAAGCTCAACCTCATTCACAAGCTCAACCACAGGAAGACCAGCTTCAGCCCCTACCCCAGCCTCAGCTCCAGCCACATCCTCAACCAAGCCAACCCTTGAATCCAAATTTATTACCGTAGACACAACCCGCTGCAGCCCAGGCAGTGATTGGTCATCAATCTTATTCGCAATCACAGCCTCATCTGGTAGCACTACAAAATCCCTTGCGTATGCATGCTCAAAGGGGCCTGCATCCACAACAGCATCCTATTGAAATGCAGAATTCCTACCCTCAGCAAACTCCTCAAATGCAGACACCCCAGTCTCATTCTGTAATTCCAAACCAACAACAGCCTGGTTCGTTGTCTTTACCCAATCCTATGCTGCAACATGCACATCATCATTCTGCTCGACATCCACTTTCAGCTCAACCACAAAGAGTTATGCAGCCTCCAACATCACTTATGTCTCATCAATATATGCAGCATCAACCTCTGTCAACCCAACCGTTGGGCTTGGTTCAGCCTCAAATGCATCAACAAGGTCCTTTTGTGCAGCAACAGCAGCCCATGCAATCTCAATTTCTCCCCCAGGCCCCCCTCAGTTCTTTCAGCAGCCTGCTCATGCCTATCAACAACCACATCAAAATATCGCAGAATCGAATATTGTGCATCCCTATACAATGCCTAATCTTGCTGGGAGACCTTTGACACCAAGTCATGGACTACAATCACAGCCATATCCGCAGTCTGCACCTGCTATGCTGGTTAAACCCATGCAGCTTGGTGCCAACCAGCCATCATATCAGAATAGTGTGCTTAAAACCAACAACCATTCTGGGTTAAATTCAAAACCCGTGTTAGAGATGCCAGGAGATCATGGTACTTTACATGTGGCTGAGAAAGAAGCCGATTTATCTTCACAGGGAATTGCTAAAAAAGAATCTAATGAGTTGGATCTGTCATCTAATCTTGGAGCTGATATGGTCAAGACTAATACATCAAAATCCAATGCTGATTTGAAATCGATAGATGAAAAATCTACTAGTGATGTTGGGGATAACAGTGGTGGGTTTCGTAATTCTACTAATGTAACAGAAGAATCTAGACACACAGATTTTGTATTGCAGAGGGATACTTTGTCTAAGAATATGGTTAAGGGTGAGGCTTTTGAGGACCAGAAATATGTTGACAATGCTGAGAGCAAAGTTGAAGAAGATAAAATTGAGGATGGTCCTTTGCTGAAAATTCCAATGCTGCAGGATGCTAAGTTTGGTGAAGAACAAAATGGGAAGATGCAGAAAGACAGAATCCAACATCAAGATAAAAGTACAGCTAAAGGTCCTGCAGGCAATGAATTTTCTGGAATCCCTCGATCTAGTCAGGTACAACCTTCTCATTCGGTTCCAGTTGTTGATCAGGGAAGGCATCATCCCCAACAGATGACATATGGGTCTAATAATAACCAACAAAAACCTGCTGCTTCTGTAATATTACAAGCACCTCCACCTGGACTGCCTTCACATGCACAAACACCAGGACTTCCTCCCAATCAAGTTAGGCCTCAGGCCCAGGACAGACTCTAGTTCCACCTGAAAATTTTGTTGATCCCTTTGGTAGAGGACCAAGTAGCTATGGTCCTCAAGGGCCTTATAATCAAGGTCCCGTTTCTGGTGCTCCTAGGTTTCCTAGACAAGGTGAATATTTGAATCCATTCCCTTTGGATCATGCTCAACGATTTGGTGATCGAGGAAAATTTGATGAAGATCTTAAACAATTTTCTAGGCCTTCTCATTTGGATTCTGGGCCTGCTCCTAAATATGGGAGCTATTTTTCCTCATCCAGATCTCTCGATAGAGGTCCTCTTGATTTTGCTAAGGAGATTGGACCATGGGCTCATGAGAAGGACTCTTGTGGTTTGAATTTTGATCCTATGATTGACTCGGGTCCTTCTCGATTCTTGCGACCTTATCATCTTGATGATGCAGGAGAAAGACCAGTTGGTCTTCCATAAGATACTCTAGGCAAACCGGGTTTTCTTGGAACAGTTTCAAGCTATGGTCGGCATCGTATGGATGGTTTTGTCTCTAGAAGTCCAGGCAGTGACTATTCAGGGATATCGTCACACAGATTTGAAGGACGTCCTAGTGATGAGATAGATGGCAGGGAGCGTGGATTCGATGATAGATTTTCAGGTTTTCCTGGAAATATGCATAGGGTGGGTTTGAGAGTTCTGATCACATGACAGAGCATTTTGGTCTAGATACACGACCTCCGCACTTCATCAGGGGTGAAAATTTTGGTCATCATAACATGCCTGGTCAGGTGCGGATGGAAGGACCTATTGGCTTTGGTGAGTTTTCGAGCCATGAACACATGGGAGATTTTGATGGGTCTGGAAACTTCCGTCAACCACGACTTGGTGAACCTGGATTTAGAAGCAGCTATTCGCTTAGAGAATTTCCTAATGATGGTGGAATATATACAGTTAAGTGTTGATTTTGTTCTAATTTTTGTCAATTATGATATAAAAAAATACTGCTCATTCATAATGTTTCATGAGAACATAATTTATACCTGGGAAATATATATCATTGAGTTACATATATGTTTCTGCTCTTGATCTATTTTTGACTCGGTATTTTCAGGGTGATATGGATTCATTTGAAAATTTGATAAAGAGAAAACCGGCGAGCATGGGTTGGTGCCGTATTTGTAAAGTGGACTGTGAAACAGTTGAAGGCTTGGACATGCACTCACAAACAAGGGAGCACCAGAAGATGGCTATGGATATGGTCGTGATCATCAAACAAAATGCAAAGAAACTGAAACAGTAAGTTTTATATGTCCATATTGTGCATGGTGGTTTCTAAACCTTGATTTGCTTATGTAAAATATCTTTTAATTTTTTATGTTGCTTTGTTTTGTAGAACCTCCAGTGATCACTCCCTGCGCAATGATTCAAACAAATCAAAGAAGGCAAAATTTGAAAGCCGCTCAAATAAGATTAAGTCTTGATATATGTTGTCCCGTAGATTGTGGTTGTCCCCTTGCTGGCTTGGAATTGAGTTTGTCGGTTTGGTATTTGGCACTTAGTGATGTAGGTCACTCACCCTTGCCACTTTTCTACATCTGGGTGGTTTATGCTGGTACTGTCATTTCAGGTTGCTGACATGTTAATGGAGATGGTTTTGGAACTGAAGTTCAGTGGCAGTTAAGTTTGTTGTTTTTTCTTTTTTAACATGATATCTGTTTCTTTTAGAACTTCAGTATTTGTGGCTACTTGAGCATTATCTGGTTAAAAGTTGATATATCAAGATATTTTGAAGTAGTGCTTGTTGAGATGGTATAATTTATTATGTATCTCTATTGACTTTCCTTACCCAGATGTTTATTAGGTTGGATTAACAAAGATCCAATATAAGCTTTTGCATGCATGCTTCAATCCACTGTTGAATAGCTTTTTTTTAGTGTATATTTAGGATCAGAATCCTTTTGTAACATTGTGTGGCATTTAACTAAATATATGAATTCCTTTCTCAATCATTGTTGAACCGATTATGCAACTTTTGTCACTTGAATAAAAAATGTTGCTACCCAACATCTTTCCATTGCCAGATGCTTTTGCTCTACCAAGTTTTGTTGCCTCTTGAATATTGAAGTGAACAAAACAAAATATTAGTTACCGGAATGTCATTAGAAATTATTATGAGACAGCCAGATGATAAAACATTGGTACATGAAGTGGGGAAGTGTGTATGAATATTAGTTCTTAAATTGTTGTAAACTAGTAGTCTAATTGTATCTTCATATGCTTTCTATAATTAATATCTAAGTTGTCTGATTGTTAGTGTAGCATTTGAAATTTAGTTATCTGAAAATATTCTTCTTATATTCCGTAATTCAAGTGCACTTCACAATTGCTGTGATCTATCTAAATTTTAGTGCTCAATATTAAATTTAATCAAACAGTTTTGACTTGGCATGATCTGCAACAAAAAATATATATGGGGGCGTATTCTTAAGTTTAAATATGCTATATTTAGAACTGGCTACAATTTATCTATAAAACATTTGGGTAAAGTACACTAAAAGTCACTAAACTACATAAAAATGATCATTTGGTCAGTGACCTTCCAAATGTTAGAAAATGGTCTTTAAACTTCCCAAAAGTTACAAAATATTCGTTAGAAATTTATCAAACTGTATGATCATTAAACATATTGAACTACTACAAAATGGTCCTCAAATTTTGAAATTCTATTGCTATTTTAACGTCGCAAGGGACCATTTTGTAATTGTTTAGAAAGTTTAATTACTTACTGTAACATTTGATAGGTTGCTGACCAAGAAGATCATATTTATATAGTCAGTGACCTCTAGTGTACTTTACCCAAATCATTCTTAATGCCAAAAGCCATTAATGGGGAAACTTGTTAAGGTTTATGGGTGTTACTTGTTCCTTGCCTTATTTGTAGCTAGGATTTCTTAATGCGATGTATTATTTTGCTAGGAAAATGTTTGTGCAATAGATTGCTAAACCTATGAGCCTAAAGCATTTACTCTCTGTCATCTAGTTTAGGATACAAATTCAATTTGAGGATCTGTGTAGCTTTACCTGTGGAAATTATCATTATAATGCAATGAACATCAAAATGAGGCCTGCTTGATCACTCTAAGCAGAAAAAAATATAACCATAAGCGGAGTATTGTTGGTTTTTGTACTCTGTTGCTTTTAAATGAACTTCTGAAGACTTAAGGCCATGAGAGATTTTTTTTGATAGAAATAGGAGGCCTCATTAAAAACCTCTCTCATAGATAACCCTTTCCTAACAGAAAGGATCAAATAGTGGAGGGAGGAAAAGAGTGTCTCGTTTTATTACTATACCAGAATTACATAAGCCTTAGCAATTACATCCAAAGAGATTACATAAGACTTAACAACTTCACCTACTTCAAAATCCTACTGACCAAAGAATGAAACATATAACTAAAATCATACAATCAACCTATCTCCTTCTTTGCTAAACTATTTGCCTCCCCATTACAAGCCCTTGGAATCAACCTAATTAACACCACCTTTTCTGAAATTATCAACAAAATTTCTTTAACTAAAGGCAATATGAAAACTGGAGCCAAAGACGGGGAATGAATCCACTCCACTACTGACTTGCAATCACTCTCAACAACCAGCCTACTGACAGCAGACCAGCGTGATGTCAAAAAAATTTCAATGCCTCTTTTAATAGCCTTTAATTCAGCAAGTGGTGGAGGACCCTGGCCAATATTCTCTGAAAAAGTCAGAAGAGTACAGCTATTCCAGTCTCTTAAAATGCCTTCAATACCTCCAACCGAGTCATTTAACCTCACAACTCCATCAACATTCATCTTCAAGAAATCAACAGGGGGAGGGAGCCAACAAATCATAGAATAATCCTTAGGTTTAGGAACAGAAATACCACCAGCAAGTGATGGATCCCCAATAAGCAGATCCTCTTGTATATGGAATTTAGGATACTTTGCTAGGAACCATTTAGATAGCCTAAATCTCACAAGGAAAAAGAGAGATAACCTATCAAGGTTTAATCATTCAAACACAATCGCATTCCTTGCTTTCCAATAGACCAAAAAACAACTCCCGGGATAAACTTCCAAATCAATGAATTCACCCTCAAATTCCCCCACGAGTTAAGTAAAGAAGCAGGGTCCTGTGGTAACACTATAGATAAATCTCAGAATCTAACCACTCTATTCCATAATTCCCACAATACAAAACACGTAATAAACAAGTGTTGCACTGATTCCTCATGTTCCCTACAAAACGGACAGAGGATATCTTCTTCTAAGGACATTCCTCTTCTCGCTAACTCCACTTTAACTGCAACTTTTTGATGAGCTAACTGCCAAAGAAAAGCTTCAACACGAGGCAGTGACAAACCCAACCACACCCCTTTTGACCACAAATCATTACCCCCAGCTTCCCCTCCAAGAGCTTTCATGCACGATTTTACTGAGAATAACCCATCACCACTTGCAGACCAAGAGAGAAAGTCTTCAACCGAATCAGTGAGTTTTATATCCTTTAATTTCACCATCAAATCCATCAATTGATCAAATTCCCAATCCGACAAATTCCTCCTAGTAAGAATGTTCCACACCCAACCATTCAACTCAAAACTTCCAAATTCAACAACCTTACCCCATTTGTTAGTAGAGAGTGCAAAAATTCTAGGGAAAAGATTTTTTAGAGGAACCTCATCCACCCATGGATCAATCCAAAAAGATATGGACTTTCCATTTCCTACTTGCAACTTCGAAAATGATCTAAGACACTCTCCCCCTGAATCATTCTTCAAAAAAAATTTAGCAATACTTCTCAAATTCCAAGAAGATTTTGGAGAAATGATCTTACTAATAGACATAGTATTGCAACTAACCTTTTTCTTGCTACACAACACTCTTTTCCATAGGGAATTCTTTTTGTTTGCAAACTTCCACACCCATTTTCCCAACAATGCTCGATTAGAAAGATTCAAGTCAAGAACCCCAAGGCCACCGCTATTCAAAGGTTTACAAACAGTACTCCAACTAACCCAGTGAATCTTCCTTTTTTCTGCACTGTCACCCCACAAAAAACTGGCCATTAAAGAATTTAAATTCTTCCCAACTTTGCATGGTATTTTAAAGAATGATGGGAAAAAAATTGGTAGGGAAGATAACATAGACTTCAACAGAACTGTCCTGCCAGCCAACGAAAGACAAGAGGCTTTCCACCCAGCTAGTTTGGAGTTAAAATTTTTAAAGACTGGATCCCATAAGGCTTCAGAATTCATCTTAGCACCGATTGGAAGTCCCAAATAATCTGTGGGAAAACAATCAACATAACATCCCACTTCCAATGCCCAATATGATAAAATATCCTCATCAATATTAAAACCAAAAAGTTTACTCTTCTTCAAGTTTAGATGCAACCCCACCATTATACTGAAAATCCTCAACACTCTTTTCACATTTTTAATCTGAGTAAGTGAAGCTTGGAAAAAAATGATGAGATCATCGGCAAACTGAAGATGAGATAACCCAAAGGAATCTTCAGAATTCCCAATAACAAAACCTTGAAAAAGACCTTTCTCAACTGCTTTATCGAGCATCAAATGCAACAACTCACCAACTATATTAAAGAGAAACAGAGAGAGACTACAACCTTGTCCAAGTCCCTTAGCCATTGGAAACTCTTCCGAGGGAGACCCATTCACAAGAACCGAAATTGAAGCAGAAGAGAGACACTGTGAGATCCACGAACACCATCTAGAACCAAAACCCAAAGGCCATGAGAGATAGATCTTCCTTTGTAGAGGATAACCATCATTACCTTAAAGAATTTATGTTTCTTCTAGTTGAAATTTAAGAATTCTTTATGTTTCTTCTAGTTGAAATTTAAGAAATTGTTTATCCAAGTTATTGCCATTTTGATATGTTTTTTCATCTGTTTTAAGACAAACATTTCCCTTTACTTGATAGAATTGATTTTTATACTGGTGGAATTTCTTTTTTCTATAATAGATTTTTTCAATTCAACACCACTTTTTTCGACGAAGCAGACAACATAATGGCTGAAAGGGTCAGTGGGAAGGTTTTGACACTCATCTTTTTAAGATGTGGTAAAGATTGTGTTATGCTTTGTGGTAAACTTTTTCTTTTGTAATATATATATATATATATATATATATATATATATATATTTTGAAATTGATTTACTGCAAGATATTATATATGTTACCTTATTTACACTGATTTGTTTTATATATTCTGTTAAGTTAATCTTTTAACTTTTTTAAGTCAAATGCATATCATGGAAACTTGTGGTTGTAGGTTATGTAAGTGGAAGGTTGTAGGAATTATAGAAATGAGTTGTTCCATCCTTAAGTTAAGAGATTTTGTAATTATTCTTTCTGTTTTAATCTCTTATTTCAAGGGATTACATCTCCTAGGATTAGTATCTTTCCTAACTTAGAGTTTCCTAGTTTAGAGACATAATTTGTATATAAAGATGTAATATGTCCTACTGAAAAATATAAGAATAAAAATAACAGAGACTTACTATGTTTTCTACATGGTATTAGGTTAGAGCGATCAATCCAATTTCCTATTCTCTTTAAATCAATTCTTGTTCAACTCTATTTTTTCTCTCCATGGCTAATTCAGATCCCTTAGCATCCGAAATCACTTCCCAGACCAGCCCCTCTCAATCTGATTTTCAGATTTTATTTTCTTGGTGTGAACTTTGTTGGAAACCAGGCCATATGATAGATCAATGTTGGAAGCTGCACAGAAAACCAGTCGATTGGCAGCCCACACGGTCCAGGTTTCAAAAGAAGGCCCATATTGCCTCTCAAGATGATTCCTCAAACAGTTTTAGCAAAGAACATATAGCGGAGCTGCAGCAGATTTTGAGCAGTATGATAGCCAAGCCTACCAATGTGGCTTATACTGCTTCCTCGGTATAATGGATAATAGACTCGGGTGTATCCGATCATATGATAAGAAATATTGATCTCTTGGAGGAATATAGTGAAAGCAGCTTACCAGCTTCTATCAAAATAGCAGATGGCTCTCTCACTACAGTCAAAGGGAGTGGTTCTGTTACATTAAATAAAAATCTACTACTTCATAATGTCCTCTATGTTCCTAGACTTGCATGCAATCTGTTGTCAGTCAGCAAATTAATTAAAGATTCTGGTTGTAATGTTGTGTTTGGTACTAGTGGTTGCATTTTTCAAGCACAGGGATCGAAAAGGCTGATTAGCAGTGCTAGGCTGGGCAAAGGATTGTACACCCTTGGAGGTTGAGTATCTCAAAATCATGCCTTATCCAGTACTATTCGAAAACCAGTTTTATCTTCTGATCTCAATACCAATAAAATTATGTTATGGCACTCTAGATTAGGTCATCCTAGTTTTTTCTATCTTTCCAAAATGTTACCAAGCTTATTTATAAATAAAGATCCATCTTTGTTTTCCTGTGAAATTTTTCAAATAGCCAAACACACCAGAAAACCATATATTGCAACCAAATTTGAACCAGCAACACCTTTTTCCATCATCCATAGTGACATTTGGTGCCCTTCTCCTGTCAAAAGTATTTCTGAGTACAAGTGGTTTATGTCTTTTATAGATGATTACTCTAGGACAACATAGGTATTTTTAACGAGAGAAAATTTTGAGGTTGAGTCTCTCTTTAAAAAATTTATCAAAAAGTTGAAACCCAATTTGAAACAAAAATCAAAATTCTAAGGAGTGACAATGGGAGTGAGTATTTGAATAAAACTCTTGGGTATTTCTTTAAGGAAAAAAACATTGTTCACCTTGTGTTAACACACCTCAACAAAACGAGGTAGGAGAAAGGAAAAATAGACATCTTTTACAGGTTACTAGGTCTTATATGTTTGCTGCTAACGGTCCTAAGTATCTTTGGGGGAAACTCTTCTTACAGCCACTTACATCATCAATAGAATGCCAAGTAAGACTTTAGGTTTCAAAATTCCTTCTAAGGTTCTGTTTCAGCTTTTCCCCCATTTTAAACATTTAAACTCAAGTCTTTCTCCTCGGGTGTTTGGGTGTACAACCTTTATTCATATCCACAACAAAGGGAAATTAGATCCTAGGTCCATAAAATGTGTATTCTTGGGCTATTCTTCGAGTCAGAAAGGTTACAAATGTTACTCACCTTCCAAAAAAAAGACCTATGTCTCCTTTGATGTTACATTTTTTGAAAACCAACCTTATTTTTTAGGAACAGAAATTCAGGGGGAGAGTTCCAAGGAATTTCAGCATGTTCAAACTAATATTTCTTTATAACCTATCCTTTCCTTACCTATTATTGTCTCTCCACAACCGGTTAGCACTGTCTCAGTTCTTAGTGAGGGTGATGTGAATAACCTAAATAACTCTGATGAATTACCTTCCTCCGTCCCAGTTCCTAGTGAGGGTGATGGGAATAACTTAAATAACTCTGATACCTTCTTTCTTATCTCAACACTCTAGTCTGTGCAAAACACCTTCCACCACTACAAAAAATGCACCTAACAGTGACCCTGAAACCATAACTCCCCAACCGAAGCAACTCAATGTTTACTCAAGAAGAAGAAAAGTTGTTGCTGAAGAAATCAGTCAGCCTAGCATGTGCCAAGAACCAGATTCGGATCCTGTTGCAGCTGAAACAAAAGGTAATGATGTACTGTTGATCTTGATGACTTTCCTATTGCTATTAGGAAGAGGGTAAGAAAATGCACTGCTCATCCAATAAATAAGTATGTTGCATATGGGAAATTACAGTATAATTTCAGGGCCTTCACTGCTAGCATTAACAGTGTGAAAATCCCAAGAAATGTGACAGAAGCATTTCAATCTCTTGAGTGGAAAAAGGTTGTGGAAGAGGAGATAAAAACGTTGCAAAAGAATAAGACATGGAGTTTGACAGATTTTCCAGAAGGGAAGAGAGTTGTTGGATGCAGGTGAATATTCACAGTCAAATATCATTCAGATGGGAGTGTGGAAAGATACAAGGCAAGGCTGGTTGCTAAAGGCTGGTTGCTAAAGGTTGGTTGCTAAAGGTTTTTCTCAGTCCTATGGCATCGACTACCAGGAGACTTTTGCACCGGTTGCAAAATTGAATAACATCAGAATATTGTTATTAGTAGCTGTTAACATGGACTGGAAATTACATCAGCTGAACATAAAGAATGCTTTTCTAAATGGGAACCTTGAAGAAGAGGTATATATGGAGGTCCCCCGGATTAGAAGAAAAGGTCACTAATAAAACTGTGCTCAATAAATACTTGGTTTGATCGATTTGCTAAGGCTATGACACAGAATGGTTTCAAACAAAGCCAAGCGGATCACGCACTATTTAGAAAAATTGCACCGAGTGGTAAGATAACCCTCCTTATTGTCTATGTATATGATATGATTATAACTGGCAGTAATATAGAAGAAATAGAAAAGCTAAAGATGGATCTTGCAAAGGAGTTTGAAACTAAGGATTTAGGGAGTATGAGGTATTTTCGGGGTATGGAAGTCGCAAGGTCCAAGGAAGGGTTGGTCATAAACCAGCATAAGTATGTTTTGGATCTTCTTGCAGAAATTGGGATGCTCGACTGTAAACCAGTTGAAACTCCACTGGAGCCAGGCTTGAAGTTTTGCAAGGAAAGGACTAGAAATCTAGTAAACAAGGAAACCTACCAAAGTTTAGTTGGGAAGTTGATCGACCTTTCACTAACCAGGCCTGATATTGCATACTCAGTGAGCATTGTCAGCCAACATATGAGTGATCATCAAGAAGAACATTTGGAAGCTGTTAACAGAATTCTAAGGTTCTTGAAGTTTACCCCAGGAGCTGGACTTATATTCAGAAAAAATCAAGACAGAACAGTGAAGGTTTATACGGATGCAAGTTGAGGAGGTGAATTAACTGATAGAAGGTCAGTTAGTGGCTACTGTACATATGTTTGGGGGTAATCTGGTGACTTGGAGAAGTAAGAAACAAGCAGTTGTCTCTCGAAGTAGTGTTGAGTCAGAGTTTAGAGCAATGACTCTCGGAATATGTGAAGGAATGTGGATTAAAAGACTGCTCACAGAACTGGAATTAGATGACAAGAAGAATTTTGAGATTTTTAGTGATAGTCAGTCAGCTATGAGTATAGCTAAAAACCCAATGCAGCATGATAGAACGAAGCACATTGAGATAGATAGACATTTTATTTACGAGAAGGTCAACAATGGAGTTACAAAACTGCTGTACATTCCGACTAAGAAACAACTTGTAGATATCTTCACCAAAGCCCTTCCACGAGTGACTTTCGATGAGCTGTCAGTCAAACTGGGTATATACAACATATATACACCAGTTTGAGGGGGAGTGTAGGTTATGTAACTGGAATGTTGTAGGAATTATAGAAATGAGTTGTTCCATCCCTTAAGAGATTTTGTAATTATTCTTTTTGTTTCAATCCCTTATTTCAAGGGATTACATCTCCTAAGATTAGTATCTTTCCTAACTTAGAGTTTCCTAGTTTAGAGACATAATTTGTATATAAAGATGTAATATGTCCTACTGAAAAATATAAGAATAAAAATAACATAGACTTACTCTGCTTTCTACAGTGGTAGTGTGAAATTTTAGAACTAAGAGGTTGGTAAAAATGTTAGTTCGTAAGTTATTCCTTAAAATGTATTCTAGGAATTCTTATGAATACTTGGATTTAGCTAGGTCGTTGACTACCTCTCTCTTTTAGTTTAGGAGTGCCTCATCCTTTTGTGAAAGTGGTAAAGCTTAGGCCGAGACTCCAATTAGAGTTGCATGTTTGTACGTGCTTGCTTAGGCGGATGAGTCTAAAATGCAACCGGTAAATATACGGCTAAAAAAGACAGAAATCTGTTGTAACTGAAACTTTTACCAGGTGTGTAACTGTTAGTAAACTGGGTATAATTTTAGGTTGAAACTGAAAACATAATGTTTTTCTTAACAATTCATGTAAATTGCATAACTATTCCGGTTGCAACTTAAGAGTTACTGTTAAGACATTCTTGGTTGTAGCAGAAATTATTACCAATTGCGTAGCTTTTTAG